CTGAAGCAGAGGCAGCTATTAAGATGAAAACGAATCCTCCAATCAGGCAACAAGCCTCAATTTGGCATGAGTGCTTTCTGGCAGGGCTGTTTAAAGAGCCTCTCCATACCAATATCCTTTATCTGAGCAGCAGAGGAAGCCCTCAGACCGACAGAGGATCTTAAAGGAGAAGTCAGACTGCGGTGTGCATTACAAAACCCTCAAACACCGTCCGTCAAGATAACAGTGTCCCAGTAATGAACAACCCACAGCTGCAATCTCTTATTCAAACTGCCTCTGTGTCACACGCCAGAGTTGTTGATTAGATATTGTAAATCCCGAAGGTGGATTTCAACCAGGGTTACATTTCCAACACAAGAAAAAATTGACAAGTCGACGGTTTAGTCAAATAAAAGGCTGAAATGAAAGAAACTCCGGCAGCCAGGAGCAGATAATTGATTTATAATGTATTGGGCCCAGTGATGATCAGCGGTCACCAGAGACAGCGGTTTGGTTCATGTTACCACCTTGCGGTTTTGATCAGACGCCAATAGGCAATTTTGACAGCTCTGCCCGCAGAGCCGCTTCTGTTAAATTGTGGTTGTCATTGTGCAAATAGACATTTCTTCTCAGCTGCAAAGCCAATCAGAAGTGTGTGATTTGAATCAGTTCGTGATCACACAAATTGGATCAGTAAAAAAAGACTGCTTTTTCCATTTTTCACACTAACTGGCCACTTTATTAGGCACTCCTTACTAGTATGAGGTTGCACTCCCATTTTCCAAATTTAAAGTCACCCTAAGGCATAGTACACACACAAAATATGATTTACTGACCGTTTATTTGTTTCAAACCTTTATGAGTTTCTTCTGTTAAACACTAGATCATATTGATACACAGATATTTTGTAGAACGCTGAAAACCTGTAACCATTGGCATTGACTACAAAAAGCAAATGCTATGAGGTTCGCAGCTTTTTTTTCATTAGAATATTCCCTTTTTTTTTTGTTCAACAAAAGAAAGAAACTCGTAAAAGATATAGAACCACTTGGGGTAAATAATGAGTAATTTTCATTTTTGGGTGAACTATCCTTTAAAGTGACCTTTCTTTCCCATTCTGATATTGAACCTAATGGGTTGTTTTGATGATGGTCTTTAATAATACAGAAGTAAATGGATGCCAGCTACCAGCATTTATCAAAGTATCTTATTTTGAGGTCAACAGAAGCAAGAAACTATATATACACACTACCTGACAAAAGTCTTATCAATCCCAGTTGTAAGAGGAACACATAATAACTTGACTTCTAGTTGATTGTTTGGAAAACTGTCAGAAGTTAGATTTTTCTGATGAATTATTTGTTGAACTGCATCCCAATCATCACAAATACAGCATAAGATCTACTGTAAGCCACATGGAGCCAAGATTCTCAAATAATTCAGTCAAGTTTGGTGAAGGAAAAATAATGTTTTGGGGTTACATTTAGTATGCAATGCAGTAGGGGCATCCGAGAGATCTGCAGAGTGGATGGCAAACTTCAACAGCCTGAGATATCAAGACATTTGCGCTGCCTATTGCATTACAAATCACAGGAGATCGAGGGCAAATTCTTCAGCAGAATAACGCTCCTTATCATACTTTAGCCTCTACATCAAAGTTCCTGAAAGCAAAGAAGGTCAAGGTGCTCCAGGATTGGCCAGCCCTGTCACTAGATATGAACATTATTAGGCATGTCTGGAGTAAGATGAAGGAGGCATTAAAGATGAATCCAAAGAATCTTGATGAAGTCTGGGATTCCTGCAAGAACGCTTTTTTTGCCATTCCAGATGACTTTATGAATAAATTATTTGATTCATTGCAGAGATGTATTGATGCAGTCCTCCAAGCTCATGGGAGTCATGCACAATATTCATTCTTTTTCCACTGCACTGTGACTTTATATTCTATACTGTACATTATTTCTGTTAAGTGACAAGACTTTTGCCTAAGCAAAGTCAGACCTTACTGTCCAAATTAAATTATTAATAATCAAGGCATGATCATATTTTATTTAGGTTAAATAACCGTAATATAGAGGCCTTTACCTTTTATTTAAGACACTTCTGAAATGACCAAGGTCAAGTTATCATTTGTTGTTCGTAAAACTTGAATAGGTGACAAGACTGTTGTCAGGTAGTGCATATTTGTGAACTATCCCTTTAAGCGCACCAACAACTGTACATTTCTAAATTTAGCAGCTGCCATGTAATTGGCTAATTTGATATTTACCTAAAGAAGCAGCTGAACAGGTGTACCAACTGTAATAAAGTCTAATATAAGCTGTAGAATATTTAGATAATTTTACTCTCAATCATTAATAACCATGTCAACAAAAACACCTACTTTCATCCATGCAATAAACAGCCAATCATGCGCAGGAGAGACCTTGTACTAACAAACAAGCTTCCAGGAACATGTAGTGATTCGGTGGGACTGTCTAACCATTCAGTATGATGTATGAGACCATAGCTAATATGTAAAGTGCTATTAATCTCTTTTTGTTCTCCCTGGAAAGGTCAGCATTTGCAAAAGACAAGTCTGTAGACAGTAGATGCGTTGCATTTGCGAACAGAAGGTTGAATCAAAGACAGTGTTTTGCAGATAAGGCCTCAACCATCTGTCTAAGCATAATTACATCACCGTTTTTGTTACTGTTTATTGATTCAGTATATGGTTCTACAGACCCCAGAATAGATTTTTCAATAATGGTTTTGCATGAAACTGGTTTTAATTTGTATATGGTTTCATTTGTTTAAATGTCTCTTGTAAAGGCTTAAACAATCCATTTGTTCATTGCTTTACAATACACTAATAGTCAGTAGTATAATGTGAAGCATTAGACTGGGATCCACATAAGTGGGGACATCATGACTGGCTAATTATTAAAAGTGAAGGGCCACTGTCATCAACAAACGTAATTTTCAAATATTGTAAATAAATAAATGAACACTGTAAAAATGTAAAAATCGCTTTACTCTAATAGTTAGTTCACAGCCACTGTAATACTGCTTCAGATTTTGCAATTCACAAGTGTTTTCCATTTGTTTACAGTTGCATTATGGGACCTTTCAACTTTTGATGTTGAAAATTCAACTGACATTTATTGGCATAGCATTTTGGAGCAGGATAAGTATCAAAAAATAATAAATTTGCATTCATAAAATTTATAAATGCACTGTGCAATTCATAAATTCACAACTCTAATTTGTAAATTTAAAACACGATTCATAAATTCACAACTCCAAATTGTAAATGCAAAACACAATTCATAAATCCACAACTCCAATTCATAAATGCAAAACATAATTCATAAATTCGCGACTCCAATTTGTAAATTCAAAAACAATTAATAAATCCACAACTCCAATTTGTAAATTTAAAGCACAATTCATAAATTTACAACTCTAATTCAAAAATTCAAAACACAATTCATAAATCCACAACTCCAATTCATAAATGCAAAACATAATTCATAAAATCACGACACTAATTTGTAAATTCAAAACACAATTCATAAATTCATGACTCCAATTCATAAATCCACAAATCTAATTCGTAAATTCAAAACAATTCATAAATCTACAACTCCAAATTGTAAATTCAAAGCACAATTCATAAATTCATGATTCCAGTTCGTAAATTCATAAGACAATTTATAAATTCATGACTCTAATTTGTAAATTCAAAACACAATTCATGAATTCACAACTCCAATTCGTAAATTCAAAACACAAAGCATGGAGCGAACGAGTTTGTATTGACCAGCAGAATCTACTTTAGTGTAGGTCTAACATATATGCAACAGCCATAAATTAAATAAGCTGAATAACATTAATATTGAGTATGATGATCTCATATAATTCTTGAATGGCTGGATTCAATGCATTTAGTAGCCAATCTTACTGAAGAAATCATTGATTCAAACGAATCGGTTAAATAGATGACTTGTTTAGTAGTACTTTTGAATTCATGAATTGTGTTTTGAATTTACGAATTGGACTTGTGAATTTATGAATTGTGCTGTGCATTTATCTCATTTATAAATGCAAATGTATAATTATTATTATTATTATTTGAGACTGATCTAGCTTCATATTAGTAGCACATAGTAATTTAAAATAATATAATGTATAATAAATAATATATAGAGAATTAGGTCTGTAAAATAACAAAAAAATGTACTGGCAGTTTATTACAAGGTTTTTGTACTATAATATACAACTCCAATCCAGACCATATATCACTTTAAACTATTATGAATGTTATTAAAAGTCACTTTTTTCAAACTTTGCCCGGTTAAAAGGTGTTGCAAGAAAGACCAAGGTCACATAATGCAATTCAAAAACATGAATAAACAAGGAAAAAAGATGACATGAATAACAAAATACATACATACTGTACAACCTATTATTTAGCTGAGATTTTGAAGAAGGTTGTGCACTTCAATATTTTCAACATCATCTGGTCATTTTATTAGGACCCCCTTGCTAATTTCCACATTCAAAGTTACCTAAATGATCTTTCTCCTCAATTTTTCATTTATTTTGGACTTTATCCGATCCTTTTGTATCCTCTGTGTACCAAATCCCACCACTTAAGTACCTGGAAACTTCCACTATAATACAAACTGAACAATTCAAGTCCACAGCACTGAGCAAAACAATCAGCCTCTGAGATCATTAATAAATAATTGGGTTTGTGTACAAGAGCAATCACTCAACTGAGTCCAGAGCAAAATACAAGAGCTATGAAAGTGGCGGCTCACAACTTTAATTTACAGCAGTTAAAGATTTGACCACATAATGCCACAGACGATCAATAACAAGAAAGAATTCCATTGAAATGTTTAATATTAAACAATAGAGCAGCCTCAAGATCACACAATTAAAAAAGTCTGAACATTAACACACTAACAGTTTCAAAACAGAACAAATTATGAACTTAAACAATGATGATAAATTAAGAGTAAACTGCAACTTACCCTGTACCATACGATCTCTCGTAATCTTCCATCTGTCTTGAAGTTGCACTTTAGAGTCACCGCTTCTCCCACAACAACAGGTAGCAATGGCTCTATCGTTACAGTTAGATATCCTGCAGAGGCAAAACAAGACATCACTTTTATTAAAAATATAAGCCAAATAGCCAGATGGTGATACATGAGGTGCAGACTGAAAAGCTTATCATAAATCAGACCACTTCATGATATAATTGATCATATTATTCAGAATTATGAACTGATTACAGAATGAATTGGAACTAATTGACACAAGTTAACATGCCAGCTCAAAACGATGTCGTTGCTAAGGAAACTAAGGCTTTGGCTTCAACAAAACAAAAGCCTTTTTTGTACACTGAATAAAAAATCTATAAAGTGAAAAAAATTATCAAAATATTCCATGATAAAATGTATATAACAAGGCAAATAGTTTTAGTCAAGTAAAATAATATTTCCAATAACTAAATTAATATATATGCATACATTTATAATAACTAAATAGATTTCTTTAAAGGGTCACGAAACACCAAAACACATTTTTTGAGCTGTTGACAGTCGTATATGTGTCCCACACTGCTATAAACACTATTAGGACGCCTATATTTCACTAAAAAGTGTAAATTGGTTGTTTTTGCGTTATTTCAAGCAAATTCGTACTTCCGGTTTGAAACGAATTTTTGAAGCTGCGTCACGGTCATGACATAATTATTAGTAAGGCTTGGTTCAAACCAATCAGCGCGCTCTATTGTGCAATTTCATTAATATTCATTAGTGTCACAGTGTTTTCACGACAGAGACGCCACGTTGTGTTGGCAAAACAAGCGTGAAGTGTTGCTTTTATAGTTTGCTGCCGTTAAGTTTTGTTTTCATTTTCTCTCTGTGAGAGCGCAGCTGGCGTCACGTGTGGATTAACAGTGTACGCGACGCTCAACAACAATAACTTACGTGTCTAAGGAGGATTATTGTTTACATGAGAGCTGCTCTCATCTCCAAACGCTGAGATCTGGATTCGCTTGTAGTATTCTCTTCATAAAGACGCGGCTCTGATTGCTGGTGATTGTCCTGTCTCTACAGATTTGGTGAGCGACCAGTGCTCTTTGTTTATTCAGTTTGCTCGTATCGAACTAAGTTAACTATTGCACCGAGTCACCGAGTGTAAACACGTTAGCATCACAACCAAACTTTAACCTCGTGTAGGGCTTTTACGGCATTTAGTGACCGGAATAACACACGTGGCTTTCTGACGCTACCTGCCGTGTGCATCTAAGTTTCCGGGAAATGCGGAGGTTTTTTTTCTCTCATTCGCCGTGCGCTATCAAACATTGCATGAAAAATACACGCTTAGAGCAGTTCCTCGAATCAAATATCTCGTTTGTCGCGAGAGGCATGAATGAATTCCCTGAATGAAAGAGCCAAACTGCAGTTAAAGTCCAACATTTAATAATTTGGCAAATAATTCAACTACAGATGTCCATGTAGGTTAAACACCATCACTTTCTCCTGTCTGTGTATTTTGACTCTGAAACACGCGCGTGCCCAAATAGACACTCCCACACCCTCCCACTTTAGTTCTTCCGACACTCCCCCCTAAACAGAGCTGGACACGCCCACTTTTCTGACTTTTTCCAAAGTAGAGGTGTGAAAACACCCTGCTGAAACGAGGGGGTTTCATGGCCCTTTAAGTATTTTTTTTTTTTTTTTTGTTAAATCTTGACTTTTTAATAAAAAGCAAGAAAATATTGTATAGTTAGTGTGTTTGTAAAATTGGCTAAGTAAAACATATGTTAATCTTTAGGGGCCCTATAATGCACTAAGGTGCAAGACATGTTTTTGACATTTGCTGCTATTTTCAGACAAGAGCAACCCTAATTTTTACGTTTTGTGCCATGTTGGGTAAATAGCAAATACATTTGCACCACTTTGTGTACTCATGGGTGTTCCGGTCTAAAAAGGAGGTGTTTTATAGCGTAGTGTTGGCATGTTGCTATTTTCAGGGAACTTAAATAGGGTCACTGACTGAATGAAAGCTTGTCTAAAGTCCAGCATGTTAATTATGCGCCTATGCAGATCTGTACAGACAGGATGTACAGCAATATACAAATACCTATATATGTGAAAAAATTTAAGTGTTAAAATGTTACAGAAATTATTAATTCCTACATTAATATAAAAACCACTACTTCTATGCCTTCTTCATGTCCGGGGGCTTTTTTCAGTTTATTCATGACAATTTGCATTAGTATATTGTTATTATTAGCAGTATTATTTATTATATGCATTTTTTTTGTATAAACAAGCTTAGATTTATCTATCTGTCGGGTTTTGGAGACATATGCATTACTATTTGAGGCATAAAAATTGCTTTTTTGACCACACTTCATTAATATTGTTCATTTATTCATTTGCTGAAAATTAGAACTGAATATAGAAATAATTTTCAAACAAATCTTTGCACTTAACAAATGAATTTAAATATGAAGGCTGAGGGATGTCTTCAGTGGAGTGAGTACAACACTGTTTCCTTATCCATGTAAGTAAAGGAGTAAAGAGTAAAAGTAAAGAGAAATTAAAAAGGCCAGATGGAGGAGGCTCCATATAAATAGCAAATGCACCAAGGCACGATGCAACTGACTCTTAAAGGGAATGGGAGATGAGACTCTGATTGGTTTATTGCACGTCATTCTCAAACCACACCTATAACTCTTTAAGAGAATAAGCTCAACTCTGTTAGGCCATGCACCAGGATTTTTTTTGTCCTTAAAATCACAAAAGTGGATTCGGACACGCCCTTGATGCTTTTGTGCCATTTATCTTTAGACATGAACTTTGTGTAATGAAAAATTTTATGAAAAAACATTATTTATTCTCTTAATATTCAAAAATTTAAAAGCCCCCAAAACCTTGATTAACTCTTTAAAGGATTTAGAATTTCTAGAGTATCAAACAAGGAATTTTTTTTTTTTTTGAAATGTAATAATTTTTAAAAATACAGTGCGTCGACGTTAGAACCTCATTCTTGAGTTTAGATCTTCTGAACAGCATCAGCATTTCCCTTTACTCACCTTTACTCACACTCACACACTCACACACACACACACAGAAGTGTGAAGGAGCTTCTTTTGCTCCATTAATTACACTTAAGGCATGGACACTTTGCCATCTGTTTAATTTTGTCTCCAAATCAGCTTGGCTATGGCAGTCCCACCCCACAAATAAACTAACACTTCAAATCCTGCTAGCCACAATTAGAACACACAATTATTTTGATGATCACATCATATCTGACTATTTATGCTAATTATTTGACCTTATTTATGCACTACTGTAAGAAAGTTCTGTGACACATTTCAAAGAATGCTGGGAAAAACAAATTCTTCCACAAAAGGCTATGTGTAACAGGCTAACTAACTAAGTAATGTGAACAATTTCTCATTTCTCTGGCCTCTTTCACTTACTTTCACTTTTCACTTTTGCTATGCTAATACTGGTTTACTTGGTGCCGTGACCCGGATTAAAATGGCATTTCAGTGGTGAGTTTAACTAGAAGTAAGCTTTGCTCCCTCGGTCTTAAGTGACATCATACTAGTAACATCATAAAGGCTGAGTGTTTAGCTGAGTGTTTTGATGCTGAAGATGCCACTTCAAATCCCAATCAGAGACGAGTGAATAGAACTGTAGAGGTTTATTGGTGGAGAGACCCAGTCAGAATCGATGCTTAGAAGTGTAATGAAGGCCAGCAAGTAGAGTCCTTTTGGCATCCTCACCTCAGATGCCAAACATGCCATGTTCAATCTTCCTGGTCTGAATAGAACTTTAAGTTCTATATTGGTGCAGTGTCCCAGATGAGAATAAGTGGTGGGTGGGTTTTGTGTAATGGAGGGAAGGTAGATGAACGTGTGTGGGTAAACTTCACTCCCTGTGCCAGTTTGAATCCCACTTGAAGTTGTGCTAGTAGAAGTGGAAGGGTTTGTTGGTGCCATGACCCAGATGTGAGAGATGTTTGTTTGCGGAGTGTAATAGAGGTCAGTAAGTAGAAGCTGTGTGAGTAAACCGCATTTCCCTGGCCTCAACGGGTGCACTTGTGACTGACGCTAGAAACTGCAGTTTTAGCACCCTTTTACCATGCCTGCCTCTTATGCCAGTTAGAATCCCACTTGGAGTGGTGTAAATAGAACCAAAAGGGTGTCGTGACCTGGATAAAGATGATGTTTGGGTTTTGAGTGTACCAGAGGCCAACTAGTAGAAGCTGTGTGAGTAAACCTCACTCCCCTGGCTTCAAGAAGCACAGTAGTGACTGATGTTAGAAGCTGCAATCTTTTGCATCCTAGTTAGCATTCCCACCTGCCATGCTGGAGACGTGGATTCAAATCCTGCTCGAAGCAGTGCTATTAGAACTAAGGCAGTTACACATACACCTAATCCATATATGCGGATCATTCCTGATCAACTAAAATGCATTGTGGTCCCGGTTTAGAGAGTTAATGAGCATAATTACAAAGTTGATCACATTTCCGACACAATGAAAACACATTTATCAAAATGCTTGGATGTAGACATGAATGACAAATGGAAGAGCTCTCGCCTCTTAAGGATGAAGATGGGAACGTCCTGCTCTAGTGAGCACTTTCTCTATCTGCCTAGCAGGTGGCCTGGATCCTACTGACTGCACAGTCTATCCATCTAACCAGTAAATACTCCTCTTAACACAGACAGCGAAAGGAGAGGGAGATTCAGAACATCAATGTGAGAAAACTTCGGCTGATTATTTATTTCACTGTAATTATTTCGCGTTTGTACCAAATCCTAATATGCCCCTGATGCATTCAATCTCCATTACGGGCGGGTATAATAACTGCAGATGTTTCATGTTCATCTGGAACATTACTTCGCAAGGAGATATCCAATCTTACATGCCAGTGCATGCTGGGAAATTAAGTCCTTCATAGTGGGGGACATATTAAAATAAAACTCTTTAGCGATCTCTGCCAATCAGCTAATTTACCTTAAGCGGCAAATCATTTAACAGAAAATGTATTGGATTTTGATGTGAAATGAGGAACATGGGGTGTTGAAAGCTCTCTAGGGGAGTGATTAA